ACAGGTTGGTAATATTCAGGCAAGCTATATTCAAATGTAATTTCATTGAGTTTTAGACTAGTAATGTTGAGTTTACATCATGAGTAAGTAAAAATGAAAGCACAATTAGCATGAATTGAAAACTTGCAATGTTCACTGTCCATGGTGCTGACGTTATCCACAGGTAGCCCCTTCAGCAGTTTGTCTCCTCACCAAATCCAATTTAGTGTTAAATCTGTTCATTCACTCACCTGTCAGTCTGGTAGTCTCATCTTGAAAGACATGCTTGATGCATATTTCACCAAAATATGAAAAGCACCAAACAGTTCAGTGAATGAAAGGAAAAAGAATTGCAGATTAGATAAATGACAAAAAAGTTTATGCTACTGGCTATATCCATGTAGACTGTAAAAAAAGTTAGTCATTTTATGTATTGTTGTCATTTTGTATTGTGTATTGTTAGTCAGCTTATGTATTGTCATTTTTTCTTCTTCTAAAAATCACGCCCTTTTACTGTCTCACCTTGTAACCTTTCTAACAGACACTCTGGTTGGTCTGGTCCCTGTCCGTGTCCCTAGAGACCTCACGGACCTTATCCAGATCCACGATCTTACTCCCTTAAGTTTCCCCGTCTGTCAGTCATGTGACAAACCAGCTTTGACCTACTAGATACTTATAGAACAGAATGGTGAAATACAGGCTATTATGGTTCACAGATAAACTCATAGATAAACAGTTCAATTGTACAATAAATCACATAAACAAAATTTTGTTCTTATTTTATTTTCATGATTAATATTCACATCACTGGTTAACAATCACAATGAAGATCTCTTTCATACCAAATATTCTAATTTGAGAGGGGGGAAAGGTCTACCTAAAAGGACAATAAACGCTTTGAACAACCAGCAGTTTGTTGTCTTCTGCATGCTGTTGCTATGATGTTGTCATACAGAATTGTAGCCTATAGCACAGAGTAGATCCACTGCACAGAACTGAAAGGCACCTTCACTTAGGCTTTTACTTCAAGTAGCAAATATAGTTAACACACCAAATGCCACAAGAGTAGCTATTGTCAATGAATACCAAATAGGTGTTCTGATATACATAGGCCTACTATTAGTTATAAGAGAAAGCTTCATTTCAGTTCCATGTTGCTGACAAGACTCCGTAGGTGAGACAAAGGTAGGGCTCCAGTGCATATCTACCAACACTATCAATTGATTAAATATGAAATTACTGTTTTACATAGTACTACCACCATTTTCAGTCTGTGCTGGTATAGGCATGGTTAAGGTGTCAATGATTAGGAGCTGTCTAATACATAACATTGCTGTCTACCATGCTTCAAGGCAAAACTGTGGTTACCGTGTAATACAGGGTTTAAGAAAGGGCTAACCAGTGTAAGTCAGGTGACCTACAGGGTGCAATTTAAGTCAAAATAGACAACTTTAATTGTTATTGTTTTAAGACAATAATTTCTCAATTACATTTTCCATTTCTCCAAGTCTTGACACACACTGCCACCCTTCCTGTACATTTCCAATCAAGTTAATTAAAAGTATTTTCAAACATTTTGCTCAAATGCTAAATCTTGGAAAACATTCTTGAATTTTTAAACAGCCCTTTTGGACATACAGACCCCCATACTACCAAATTTAAATAATACTTGACCCTAATTTACCTTCGTGTTGTCCTCATCCACAACAACTTGTTAAGAATTATTTTTTGTGTTTTTATTTTTATATATTTGGAGTGATATAAAAACATGATATCTATATACAAAGGACAGTGAGATACTAGTGGAAAGTGTCATTTATGCGCTATTACTTACATGGGGAGCATACAGCAGTCAATGGACAAAAGAGTGAATATTGCAATAACATTTTGACCAAGCCACAAGATCAAACAGCAACAGACATAAATAATAATAATAATAATAATAATAATAATAATAATAACAATAATAATAATAATAATAATCCACAGTAAGCAGCTTATATCTATGTGCACATTAAAAAAGTTAGTCAATGACAAGTTACTGACAAAATTATGAAGTTTTTCCAAATTATATAAATAACACAGAGACATTCGAAAACATTCAAATTCTCTATTAATTACCCTGTGTATATTAAGTTAGTTGCCTGGCTAACCTAACTCACATTCTGACTAATACTGTTGTCTATTTTGTCAAATAAAGAAAAACAATGTGAAGAAGTATTTACTTTTGCAGTTAATGAAGCAAAATATGCCTTTGCAGGTTGGCCAAAATGTGAAAAACAGCACATGGAACAAGAGGAAAGCAGACTGGAGAGTTGAGTTTTAAACCATCATAGCACAACACTGATGACCAAAGATCCACTAAAATCCACTAATAAAGCAGTACCATCCTCCTTAAAATACTAACATAAACATTAAGACTGCTACTTGTTCCTACTTAACTGTATATACATAATCCAATGCCTACACCTATCAAAGTGCTTTCGACCCTTTGTTCCTTCATTACCAAAGAGCAATTCACATTATACTTTGACATGGTTTTGTGGAGTTCCCCTTTTAGGTGACAAGGGCACATATACAAATTGTACTTACTGTTGTTTATGATGGATTGCTTGTTTGATTATCATTACTAGTCTATATCTAACACTTTAACATCTGCTTTACTTCATAGAGTATACATATACAATACATAGCTGACAATGTATTACAGTAAAGCGACGTCACTTTAGTGCATCAACTTTCAAAGTGCACAAGACTTGTGGGCAAGGGTAAATTATTATTTGATATAATTTGATCAAGGCTAAATAACTATTTCTAAAGTAATGTAACAGTAATACAGATTTTTGTGTAGGTTTAATACTGTATCAAAGCCAGACTATCAGTGTTTCACAGGCTTAGGAGCGCCCTCTACAGGATGGATGCAGTAGTAAACACTTCACACATCTGACAAATATGTGCCACAAACACTAATCCTTCACTGTTTCACCAGGGATCACTCCAGTTATAAATGCATGGTGCATAGAGATGCAGTGAGTACACAGGACCATCCCAATAGTACAGTAAAGACCAGATTTTACACAAAACATATACTTTGTCTGTAAATTAAAATCACATCACAGTGCTATTAGGATTTCTATGCATAAACTGCCTTGTTGGTAAAATATGTAACCCTTTCAAAAGAACAATTATTTTCTGAAACTGTTTTTCTGAAACTTTTCTTACTGTGAATGCAGTAGTTTTTTGTTTTTTTTTTAATCACTTTCAATACATACATTTTACACCTCAGAATACAATTCTGCCTAATGCTCAAATATTGCTGCATTCATGGCATTTTGGAGTTGGCCAGTTCCTGCTGTCCAGTATAACAAAAAACATTCTGCAGTCTCATTTATGTAAAAAAACAATAGGAAAATAATTAACAAAATTGGTACAAGCGTATTTAAAACACTAGATATCCCTTCTATTTACATCAAAACTCAAATATCTGTAATAGCTGTATGTTTTCTTTTTACTTTTTGTATTTGCAGAGAATTCCAACTTCCGACTTGCCATGAATGTAACATTATCCACGAATACCGGTTCTTTTTTACTTCTTTCACCCTCTGCTCTGCCAGTCTGTGACTCTGTAGGTTTGTAAGAGTAAAGGGAGGACTTTTCTCTATTGCTGCTTAGAAAGTTGAATGAGCATGAAATGAAAATGTCTTATGCATGTTACAGCCTAAAAGTGTCTGTTTAAACTTAATTTAAGAGTGCATAAGCATGTTTCATCTATGTGCTTCCATGTAGTTTTATGACAATACTAGTCAATGGTTTCTTAAGCTGGATATATGTCGCCCCACACTGTCACTAGCACTGCCCTGTTTAGGTGCCTGTCAGTTTACCTCCTGTATGAATGATATTTATTCTTTTAGCACCCCCAGATGTTAATGTTCTCATGTATTATTCTTGGATAAAATAAAAGGAAAGGACTGCAGTGGTATTTGTCTACCACTTTAGTTAGTGTTGTGCTCAGACCATGTGATCAGGGCTTGTTACAGCCCTAGTGGATAATGCGGACCATGGACAATCATAATCTGGATCATAATAAAATTTAGCCACACTGAATATAACCTATAGGATTAGATCTCTCTTTTATATTTAAACATTTTCTAATAACTAAGTTATTGCTCAGTTATACACAGTAAATAAACAAATTACTCCTTGTGTGGACATGACAACTAATGTATTTTAACTTCAAAGATGAAGCAGACAACAAGAAAGCAAGATTTGGACACAATGGTCATGTTGAGACCTGCTCATCTGAAAGGACACAGTTTAACATGTTTGTTTGTTAATGTCTCTGAACCCAAATATGTTGGTGCCTATGTTTGCCAATACAGTTAATATATAGCTCACATGATCCATCTGAATGTGAATGTAGATTTTTATCGGCAATGGATGCAGTGAGATTAGTGTTACATTACAAGTGCATTATCACAAGTCTATAAGTAATATAACAAACGTTAAAGTTTGAGGTAATTCATTCAATTCAAAAAGTTCTGAAACTGCTCATATTTTTAACATTGCTCGACATTAAAGGCATTTTTGCCTCACTTTTACTGCTAACACTGCATTAAGCTGTAAAGGTGAAGTGTAACAGCAATAGATGGACAATGTGAAGTACTATATGTAACCCAAACTGAGATATGGTTAGCAAGGAGCAGGGCAGGATGCATGTATGCAAAGCTAAGTGGACATATTTAACCTTTGTTAGTGATAAAAGTCTTCATTTGGAAAATACTAAAGTTTTTTTTTTTTTTTCTAATCAAGCAACAAGTGACCTAAGTTAGGGTTATACACATTTTAGAATCCGATTTGGGGATGGTCCCATAATAATGTATGAACACAGACAAACAGCAGATGCTCTTCCCTGTGAGAAAGGGGTGTACATGTGGGTGCATTGAGGGGTCAAAGTTGGTGGTCTAGCAGGAGGCAGACAGACCCCCGGAGAAACACGAAGAGACGACCGGTTTGTTTGTGGTGTGGTTTTTGTAGACGAGATGACCAAAGGGGCGGGATCAAGGTGACTGCGCTGTAGTGAGTCGGCTGATTGGTCGTCAGTTGGCAGATGGGCAAGCGCCATGCGTGGCTCACCAAGTTATATGAGACAAGGGTTTCAGTCTGAGGAGAGGAACAAAAGATTAATGTGTTTTGAGAACCTTTGTTCGAGAGCACTTACTTCTACAGCAACTATTAGAATTAAATAATACATTGTGAAAATATTGTGATTTTTCTGATCTGAGAATCGCTAAAAGGTGTGTGGTTTATATTTGAGAGCAGATGTATTTCCAACATCTATTAAAATACTATGTTTATCCATTTATGATTATAACATAGTACAAAAGATATGCATACCCCACCCAGTTAGATTATGAAGCTTGTTCATTTCAAGTCGGATTCATTCAAGTCCCATGCTAAAAGGCCATTAGCGTCTGGTGAATGGCCTAATGAGTTAAAGCCAAATTACAAAGCAATCCTGTGTTTTTATTGTATTAACCCAGTGGTCATTTGTCACGTTGGTGAAATCTGCAAACGACTTCACAGAGCAGAGGTCTGGAGTCCATGTGAACATGAGTCTGGTACTTGGCTAGCAATAAATAGAAAAACAAGACATCTTAAGACAAAAGGTCTGCTTATAATTTCATTTAGTAGGAAAAATGGATGCTATTTTTATCCACACTCTAAACCACAGAGACACAGTGAAAGCTAAGCTCTGTCAATGTCTCACAGACCATTCACAATTCAGATGTAAAAAAGGACTGAAAAAGGTGTTTAATAATGTTCAAATATCAACAAATATTGGCCCTAAAATAATATTTTTAATAACTGACATATTTTTTATTTCTGTTATCATTGTCCATGCCCTTTTAGTTTTGAACATTATGTTATATCCACAATAAATAAAAGGCAAATAAAAAGCTGTTTACAGCTCACTAGCTTCAAAGCAGAAGTAAAAGTAAAGTAACGACTGATCTGGACATATTGGTTATACTGAGACCTTCTTATCTAAAACTTTGATATGGTTATATAATAATATAAATAAGGTTACATAATAATGGTTGAAATCTTAAACTATCTGCACCTACTTGTCTCAGTGATGCGTTTGTCTAAGCTTATGGGATCTCGCAGTCCGTCCCCCCCAAAAGGAGTTGGTGTGGGTTCCTTCACCCCATTCTCCTTGGTGCCACCTGGAGGTGAAGACAGATTCTCCTCCGCCTTTGGATCCTGCAAATACAGAGGCAAAAAAGACATGATTACAGGTCTGCCATCTAGTGGTGTCAGGGTGAACTCACACCCTCGAGCAGAGTGAGTAATAAATGCAGTACTAAACAAAATACACTACCCACATGTATTTAAATATTAAAGCACTATCTCGTAATATTTCAGTTAAAAATATACTAAATTAAAAGCGTTTCTTAAAAAATAATTCTGAATGTTTCTTTGGCACTAAGTAAAATAGAAAGACGTGTCCGTTCTCTGAACTGACCTGCATCCCCATAAAACTTAAATTAAATTAAAACATTTGACTTGTACACAAAAAAATTATAAATAATAGGAATAAATCATCATTCTGAATCTACTTATTGTTAATTGTTAATGTAATACAATTTACATGTAACTTCATATATTGTTAACTATATATTACTAATGTTAACTGATTGGTGACAACAGGTTTATGAAAACTTTATGCTGTCATGTAAATGGAGATTGATTCTCAATAAAAATATCAATGTAATCTGCTTTAGTCTACTGTGTGATGTCTGACCTTGTGTCCGTTGGTCTGTCCATTGCCTGGTCCCACATTATCCAGCGATCCAATTTTAGATTTGGCCTTGACGTTGATCTTATGGGACTCGATTTTCACGTCACCACCACCTGTGGTTAAAAATAAACAGCAAAATAGTTTTAGACCAAGAGAAGAGGTGTTGTTTAAACTATTTTTAAAGCTATTGTAGAAGAAAATATCTGACCTGGTTTGTGTTTGATGTTGTCCTTGGAGCCACACTTGGAGGTCACCTTACTCACGTCAACCTTCTTATTCAAGATCTGCACCTGGGGAGGAGAAAATATCATATTGCTTCACCTTTCAATCATAAAAACATTGCGTTCTTCTGTCCCTTATTTAGAAGTCTGACAATCAAGACCAGAATGTGATGGCAGCTGGCACAAGCGTCACTGACAGTATGAAATGAGATCAATCAGATTTGCATTTTTAATGACAAACACGGCTGGGAGCATGGGGCGGTTAATAATGCATGTACAACTATTAACACAAGTGGTTGCCCTTTGGTACTAAGTTTTTGCTTTTTAAAATTTGACAAAAAAAACATTCAAGATAAATGCAGAAGTCCTCAACGGGAATATATAATAGTTTAGTTATTTCCACAAAAACAGGACTAAAATAGATTGGCAGGTCATGTTATTGAAAAATATTAAATTAACCTAATTATCAAATACTCTCAGGGAAACAGAAAGAAGTGCATGTTGCCCATTTTATATTATATTAAGGTAGTGTTAATCACAAGATTATTCCTTAAAAAGAAAGTGTCTGTCTTTCTAGTTTATAGATTATATAATGTGATGTCATACCCCCCATCTCCTACCTTTTTCTATTGCCTACCATACCTAAACCATATTGAAATCATGTTAAAATCTGCATTTTAACTACATTCTATGTATTTGCCTCCTCATCTGTATTAAATATTGTACACTTATAGAATTATGGGCTGTCATCTCAATCTGAAACCAGCAATCACATCTATTCTATTAACAAATATACCAGCACTGACTAAAGATATCACTAGACACCAATGAAAGTGATGGAAGTGGAACACAATCACAAAAGAGGCAAAAAAAAGTGAAAAACACCAGAGCTTTTGCAGAATTAGGAGTCCACTCTTCCCATAGTGTGACTTCAGCATGACCAGTTACTTACATTGCCACCTCCAGGGACATGTTTGATATTGTCCTTGGAGCCACAGCGAGACGTGACATGGCTGAAGTCCAGCTTTTTGTGCACTATCTGAACCTACGAACAGACGGGCAGACACACAAAGGCGCACAAAAAAGCAAAAAAAAAAGGGGGGAAGGGAGTGGAGGAAAAAGAAAATAGGAGATAGACACATAAAAAGCAGGCAGTAGAGAAGTGTAGATCAGCTAATGGCTTTGGTTAAGATACAGAATAGCTTCGCACTGTCAATATGGAAGCTCTTCTGTCATCCAAATTTTTGTACAGCTTGAGGTTCAGAAAAAATTAAAAAAACATACTCAAAGGTGCACTAGTGTAGTTAGTAGTAGTTATGTGGATATATTTGATAGCAACAGAGCGCTTCCGTACACAGCTTGAAGAGAAATGTCACAACACAAGTGCACATGCAACACATATTGTACACCTAATGTTAACAGCCAGTTAAAATGAAAGGCGTTTGTGTGTCTTAAAAATGAAATCTGATTTGTATTTTGCAAAAAGAGCAAGGTTCATTTTCATTAATTTTGTAGAAAGTATGATAGATCCTATACAAAAGAAGCAAAGGTCAAACTTATTTTATCCTTCATGGAGCAGAAATGCCAGGCAAGACACAACTAAATACAATGTGGAAGAATAAACTATTTCAGTGGTTTAATAATTGTAATGTGTTCTGAAAGTTTTATTGTACAAATAGTTGTATTTTCTACTATACTGAAATAAATACATTTTAATATCATTCTAAGGTGCACCAATTAACTTTTGGAGAGGTCACAACCTGATTGTCTCCATGGAAATGTTTGTCTGCTTTGTCCAGATTGTCTAAGTTTTGTTAAACTTATCTATCTCAATGGAGATAAGCAGGTGATGTCACCAGGCGAAATTACATATTGGGTCTGTGGAGACGTGAACCCACAAGGTTTTTTTTAAGCAATTAAACACTTGGAACTGAAAGCAATAACATCTCCATGAAGACAGACAGATGGCATATACTCCACCATAAAAGTTACACTGTGCAATTGTAAATGTCATATCTCAAAAAGTGATTCATTCTTTCTCATTTAAAAGACAACAGGTGAGCATAGTATAATCCCCCATGTACAGTGTAGAGCCTGTTAAAAACAAGGTAAGTCATTTTAATAAGGCCATAAAACATGGCTGTCAGCTTGATAACGTGCCCAATTCATTTGTGATATCAGCTCTCAAATGGCCACGAGACGCCTTTCCCCTTTCACTGCCTCGGTCTCATTCTCAGGGATGAAAATGGCTCGATGACGCAGGTGGCAGCAGCACAGGATGACTCACAGAATAGTTAGCAGACATAGACTTAATATCAGAACACACGCACACATGTATGGTCTACACACTCTGCAGCTTGTATAGTGTCTCTTTCCCATTTTCATCATGAAATAGAATAATCATCTAGAACAACTGTGGCAGCTACAAGCCTGTGGTTCATCATGTCGCCTAATTTAAGTATGGAGAGCTGTGTGTACACTGCAGTGGGAACATAAATATATAACCTGAGCTTATAGAGCAAGCTGAATTAGATAGAATCCTGGTGCTTTATTGTCTATAGTTTACAATATACACTAATATCCATAAATATATTTTATTGAGCACTGTTAGTTATGTCCCCATTGCCATTATATTGGTGCCCTGTAAAACTATTGTAGCTGTCAAGACCTTTTAACTTAGTGTTGAGCTATACAAGTAAATTAAACTGGTTCATTTTTTAAAGTCACTTGTATGTAACTTTTCTGGAGGAGGGTTTGCCACATGCTGTTTATAAAAGACATTGATTTTTATGTTTATTATATGTACATGTACACAATTTGCAATGTGCATTGATTGGTAAATCCAGTTTTTGGCGCATATGCAACATTTTAAGCAGGGATCTTAAATACTGCAATTAAGATGTTTGAGAATGTTTTAATATAACTGAATAATGTATAGGACAGTTAAGAGTAGAAAATAAATTCCTTCTTTTAAATGTATGAAACTAAAAGCTAAATAAATCTTTACTTGATGTTACGTGTTATTACTGTACTGCACATTCTCATAACTGTATTGATTGTTGTTCTACAGTGGGTATAGCGCCATTTGTGCATTAGTTTACCTAAAAATCATATATAGTACCTCACAAGATCTTTCTTTGGTCTAATGATGCACCACAAGGAATGTAAATGTATAAATTTTAGTGTCCTAGACTGATGTAAAATGGCAGGTGTACAGTATGTAGAGAGAGTGGGTGGATGTCAGGGGTGTGTGGGTGCGATGATGGGACTCACTCTGGCCTTGGCGGGAGGGGTGGAGGGGTCAGATGTCTTGTTGTTCGGGGTGGAGGAGCCCTGGGGAGACAATTAGTCCCCTGGTCAATAATACCTTCTACCAATCACACACCACAACACAAACACAAAGGGGCGGAGCGAAGGCAATGGCAGTGAAGATGTGAAAATTAGCACCAGTCAATCAAGTGAACAAGATTATTGTATATAGGATGAAGTTAAACATTATATGTATTTAGAAAGGGTTTCTTGGCTAATTGACATCTTTGCCCAAGATAAAACTATATGTATATAATGAGAAAAAAAAAACTCTAATTAGGAATATAAATTGAAAATAATCTGAAATACTTATTGCTTATGCTTAACAGTAATAGTTATAAAAGATACATAAGGACACAGTTTATTTCCATTTAGTTTTAGATCTAAAAACATTTGCAAGTTCAAAACTATCCATGATACCTGGGCATTAAGAAATGGCTTTATTGGATGTTACAATGCATTATATATACAAAACATCTACATTTAAATTAGTTTGTTATGCAAGAGTACGGATGAAATGGAAGGTAACATGGCATTAGCTTAGCTCTAAAACAAATGTTATGAAATGAGTCAATGATCCAATATTAGCACAGAATGAGCATAATAATTACCCTCAAAAATACCACAGAGGAGAGAACAAACTCAAACAAAAGCTTTGTACAAATCAAATCTCACGACCAGCATTACAATCTGGAGCTCAGGGTGAAAGGAGCCTGTTGAACACCAATGCGTATTAGAATACATAATGATATCCATAACATAGGAAAATGAATGAGTCAGTGCTTCTTATTGTGATGCAGAGCAGAACAGCAGAGTGAGGCCTGACACTGCAAGAGAGTGACTTTGAAAAGTAAACGTTGGAAAAATAACAGGGAAAAACTCACATGCATCAAACTACAGTCCCCAATAACAATGATAGGCTATCGTGTTATAGGCAACAATATGATACAGGGATGTTACAGTGTATTGAGATGTGTGTGAGTGGGTTTTAGTGATAAGGGTTTAAGGGGAAGATGTTTTATGATAATGAAAAGGTGCAATGTACTAACTAAAGGAAGTGCATGGTGCTTCTCTTGAATGGGGAGTGTGTGAGTGATAAATGAATCACATTTGGCTATTCAAATACAGTTAATGATGGGAATAAATTAACAGAAGAAGCATCAGACTTCTGCCCTTCATAACAGTGTACTAAAATATCAACTCTATAATGTTTGACCCTCAAAACCAATTTCAATACCACAATGATAATAATTAATTAATTAATAAAAAAAAATAATAACAAAAAAAAAGTGGTCTTATACTCGTTATGATGTAGATCTATATTTTTTTATATCAGTATCATTGGCTGTTCAGAATCAATATCCATTTTTTATTCTATAGTGTAATAAATGAACTAAACTAAAACCTCTGCTACTTCATTGGGTTACCTTTTCCTGTTTATTGGCCAGGCTGGTGACCCAAAATCAATGTGGCGGATGCTCTGACCTAGTTATCTAGCTATCCAAATTTGTCAAACTACAATTGCTTTCCTTTCTAGCAGATTAGAAGACAAAATGTTCCCACACAATTTAAGCACAGTGTTGAGACAATGACAGGTCATTGAAAATAATGTCTTGCTTGATTGGCGTATGGACATTCACAATAAACAGCCATCCTCATCAGGAAGCCACTATAGCGATGGACAGCTGAAGTTTGGTTTCCTTCACATCACAAGGACAGGAGTGTATATGATTCAAAGCGACAACATTTTTCAAACTGTCCCAGAAATGAAGAGATGATGACAGTGGTCCAGGTGTCTGAGCCGGTCCTGTCTATGTGCTTTATCAAAGTAATAAAATGCAGTATGTGGCCGTGTGTGGGGACAGCAGGTGGTAAGAGTACATAGACTGCAGGTCATCTCATGCGTGATCAAGGGTGACCAAGTTCTAGAGCAGTGCATGTGCTATATTGTCAGTGATTTTATGATGTAAAAACACAAGGAATTTCTTTAAATGTGCACTATGTAACTTCAGGTGGACGGTGTGCTACATGCTTGTGTCGATGGAGATGTTATTGCTTTGCTTGGAATGTTACATGTTACAGGAATACAAGCTTTTTAAGGCATTTTCTTTAGCCCATTAAGCACTGGTAATTAAAAAAAAATGCAAGATAGACAAATTTAAGCAAAGTATTAACATCTACATGGAAAAAGTTAAACCCCCTTCTCAAGAAGAATTACATAGTGCACATTTAAATGTTTAAAAAAAAAGTGTGCTTGAATATTAATATTGAAGCTTTGGAAGGTAAGGTAAGATAAACTATAGTAGGTAAAAAGAACAAATGTCCTCTGCATTTGACCCATCCTTCAATGCCGCTGCCACTCATCTCCAGATCTAAGCTTAGGTCTAGACTACCCATCTATCCTAACTATATTTCCTCATCAATGAAAATCAAAAGATGCTTATTGACAGAAAAAACTAAATGAATGTTCTGTGTTCACTAAAATATTTTGAAGAGAACTGTAAATGTAGCTGTAATTATTATCAGTGATCACCATGGAGCTTTAAGGGACCAAAGCAATAAGAGTGTGAACAAATAGCACTTGTCAGCAGGAGAGATGTTGTTAGTTTTTCTTATGGGGATTCAGACTTATAAATACCATGCGTATCAGCATATTTATATATAGGAAGATATTAACACCTCATTATCTCTTGTGTCAAACTGGTAATTAATTGTGTGCATCTTACCTTCCCTCCGCCGGGCTGGTACTTCATATTGTCAGTGGATCCAATCTTGGAGCGGACATTCTTGAGGTCAGGTGTGGGAGCGTTGATGGGGCGAGGCGTTCGGGGGGCGCGGGGAACGGGAGGTTTCTTCTCCAGGGGGGTCTGTTTGGGCACCGGGGGTTTGGTGATGACCCGGCGACGCTGAGAGGTACCATCACCGTTAGTGGCTGGAGCTGAGGCTGGAGTGGTAGTGGAAGCAGGACGAGGGCGAGCTGTAGAAGAAAAGAAAGATTTAGAGCAAGAATACATTTGGTAAAACTTTGGTGACATACAGTTTAATTTGCCAAGGTCTAAGGCAGGGGTGTGCTTTTTTTTTTTTTTTTTTTTTCATTCCTGGCGGTCACATTCGTATTTTGGTATGTGGTGGAACACTGGACCAATGTGATCATTGGTGTCATAAGCAAATTATTCTCTAATCTTGTAGTATAATGAATGCACTTAACATTAAAACATTCTTTTTAAGACTTGCCTCATCAAATTAACTTCCAATAAATAAAATAGCTGTGACCCAAATGTGAGCCCTACCCCACTTTTTGAGAACCTTTTTTGTTGATTGCATGGCCACATCATATAATTTCTAATCAATGCTATAAACATTTGGAACTTTGACCAATAGTTTTAGTACCACAGTTTAAAATAGTCTGAACCAAACAGAGATGTATGCCAAAGACAATCAGACTGATTGTGATGATGATTTGCTTCAAGCAGCAGCACAAAACTCTCACATCTGTCAGCCTTCATTATATTATATTGATTCTGCTTTTGCTTTTTGAGTGTAAAAATACATGTGAATGGGGCAGAACTGAATGCTGTTTTATGCACCTTATGGAGCTATTTGTATTATTAGAAGTCCTGTACAAATAAAAGAGGTCAAATTGTTGGTGTGCCTCATCAATCAATACAAATAATATCAGCCTTGTGTCTCTACCTATTTTCTGATTGTGGGATTTTATGTTGTTCATCTATATTTTCTTGGTTCTAAACAAGAATAAATAATTCAAACTTTGAGACTACAATGTAGTACCTGTAGTCTTGGGTTTCTTGGCCTCATTTGTCTTGCTCTCAATCTTCTCATTCTTGTTAGCTGTAAGAAAAGAATAGAATTAGTACAAGATTCTAAGTAGCTTTTAAGTTTGCTCAAATTTTCCTCGTTCTGTCAATTTCCATTAATTGGAAAGGAGGTCACACTGAAAAGCATAATAATTAATAGCTATACATAGTTTCCTTTTCACAGTGTATTGCAGTTAAAAAATCCTCTTCTATTTCACAGCTGATATCAAATCCAAAAGGATGAAATTAGAAATGTGTTTTGGCACCTCTTCAGACATCTCGCAGTAAAATTGTGAACAAATCATTTTGAGTAAGGTGTGCTGGGTCTGAATGACAGAGGCACAGTGAGTCACTCGGTCACACTTTTTTACAAAGATGACAAAATGTTTGTGAAGTGTGAATTAAAACCTCTGTATCCTGCCTTTGAAGAACAAGAATATAAGAAACAGAAACACAGTGACATATGGTCTGATATTGGGGCCTGTTCCCTCGGGCTCTACCAGTTCTGGGCCAGATTTCCCATTAGTGCCTTGGGTTTATCTTTCAAAGAGGTCATGGAAAGCTAAGTACATTGTAAATTAAAGCAACTGTTTCTTTATCTTGTTTATATATACTGTAAATATGTAACATCTTAGAGGGTTCCTTGACGCCACTGCTGTTTCTTTGATTGACTGTCATTCTTTCATCCCAATAGAAAATCTATTATGGTAATAATTTCACTAAAATACATTAAAAGGGTACTATGTAATATTTATTTGTTATGGTCAGTCACCTTAAGATCTTCATGTATGTTTTATAGCTTTACCTCGATTATTCCACAAAAGTGACGGTATCTTTTGCATTAAAAAAATAAAGTAATTATATATCTTCATATCAATATCTCCATGGAGACAAGCAAGTGGCAGACCCCCCACTAGAAAAGTTTCATCGAATTTTTCTGTCTATACATCTTAAAGTTTCATAAATGTTTGATTAAATATTCATGTTTATTTATAAAAAGATGTATTTGCTTAAAGTGTATGAATGTCCTTGTGATGTCCACATACCAGCGTTTGAGGCATTTTTGTTGGCTGTGGCGCGAGGAGTGGGAGTAGCTTTTGGCACAGGAGGACGTTTCTCATTCTCTGGGGTCTGGAAGATAAAAATAATCAAATGAATAATGATGATGATGAGTGTCCAGAGAGACTGTTTGTCAGGAAAGAAAAAAAACAAAACCACCAAAAACCTTACAGCTCATTTATTTTTGTAACTGTATCGAAAATGTCTAAATAAATTAGTGACACATAAGTATATTTATTATTCAGTTCTTAGGGTATATGAGTTTTAGATGAAAGATTTTGGACAGCATATATTCCTATCTTCCTTGTCCCCATCTTTGCTTGCCCTTAAATGATACAACACTCACCTTGGCAGCCTTGGCAGCTGCTGCTGAAGGTCTCTTAGTGGCGGTAGGTGTGGTCGCCTTGGCAACTGGGCTTTTTTTATTGGCTGACGCAGTAGTGGGGGAGGGCCGTTTGGCTGCATTAGCCTCGTTATTGGACGTGAGCGTGGATGGGCGGGGCTTGGCTGAGTTTGGTTTGGTTGAATCCACATCAGGCTGGTGTAATGCAATTTAAACAAGTCACAGCAACACAAGAAAATAGAAAAAAGAAGATAAAATAGCAGTAATGGAGTCAGTGATTGCAATGACAGCATGTTCAATATGGCAGCACAGCCTTCTTGAAACGTCTCATTAACTACAACAAAAACAAAATCAGTCAGACAAGCCAGAAACTGATAAAAACCAAAGCCTAGGATTAAAAGCAGGCATTGAATAGCGTATGATATGAAAGGCAAGCCTGACATGAGCAGGATCACAGACAATTCAAAGAGATATCTGTGCTGAGCAGCTGAGAGACGGTGACGCAGCAAATAATGAACCTAAAAGTGTGTTTGGCCCAAGGACTGTTTCATTTGTTGTCAGACGCAGCAGCTGTCGAGGTCAAAACTACAACCACGATATGAAAGGGCTGCACTTGAGACGTCTAGGCATCCTTTGTGTGCAAGGTCATTGGTGAAAGTGAAACGTTTTACACTTACATTTTATTGAAATTCATTCTTAATTCAGTTGCATCACTTCCTATTGAAGTCCAAAGAATTCTAAGTAATCAACTATGTAATTCAATTTAGAGATGCTATTTACAAATATAACAAATAATCCAATGCATCATCCAAAAAATATAGTTCTCAGTGCAGAACTTTTGCAATAAAGGACACATATCTTTTGAAAAATACACAGTATAAGAGATGTTTACATGTCTGCAGCTTATGACTGCAATGATTAATCAGTCTAATCATGACTACTGAAATAATTTGTAAAAAAATATATAATCCCTAATCAGACATATCACATACCATTTGTTATGAAAACAGGATATATCACAAATAAGTGCCATTATTAAATCAAAACTCTCTTGTATTAGTAGGTAACATTTTTTCTTTAACTTTTATTTCAAAATAGAAATAACTGCTTGACTGCTAGTCAACTAATCAAAATTATAATTGCAGTCTAGTCTAGGGCTAAAATAAGTGTAGCTCTATAAAAAAAACACTTGTAACCAAAATTCTATAATTCTGATTCAGTAGTACCACCAAATATTTGGCCTTCCGAGTACTGTCATATCTAAACCAGAATTAAAACAAGATCATATCAGGTTTAAATTAAGACAGAAACTGAGGTAAAATGGATTAAACCAATCTAGTTCTAAAAGAGCATTAACAAAACAGGGGAGCAAAAATAGAATTGTCACTACATTTAAGATAAACTACAACTGCTGCCACCAGAAGCAGTTCACGTATGACCCACAGTACACGCACCGCCGTTTGAGAAAATGACATACACCTTAACACTTTATTATTGAATGAGTGCCACAGTGTGTGATGTACCTTGCTCTTGGTGTCAGCTCCGGGTGCAGCCTTGGTCCCAGTGGGAGACTTGGCTGGCCCTTTGCCCTTCTCCTCCTTCTTCTCCACAGCTTTCTTCTCCTCGTCTTTCTTCGACTCTTTCTTCTCCTCTTTCTTCTCTTCTTTTTTCTCATCTTTCTTCTCTTCTTTCTTCTCATCTTTCTTCTCCTCTTTCTTTTCCTCTTTCTTCTCTTCTTTCTTCTCATCTTTGTCGGTCTTCTCGGGTTTATCCACTTTCTCTGCCTTCTCTGTGACTTTGTTGTTTTTGTCTGCGTTCAGCTTCTCGTTCTTCTCCTCCTCCTTTAAGATCTTCTGGTTTTTCTCCAGGATGTTGTCTTTCTTCTGCTGTTCCTCTTTCTTTTCCAGGGGCTCCATCTTGGACATGATGTTATCCTGTTTGTCCTTATTGTCACTTTTCACTGTAAATAACAAAAACAACAACAACAAAAACTGTTTAATTTAAAGTTCTCTTGTACATCAAACACATGATTAGTGAGAGTAGGATGTAATTGTGAAAATGTTATTCTGGAGAAAATGCCGTTTTGTGATTCAATGCTTTACTATCTCTCTCTATCTCTACTTTGCTGAAACCCAAGCACTTTCCCCCACCCATGGTCATCCTCTTTTGTTACATCCTAAAGACAGGGTACTTCAATCATGATACATCTGAAACTGTGAATTGAATTATGGATTAAATTGTGATTGTGATTTGGCACATTAACACCCCTAGCTGATAAGGATAAAGTATTGCAACATATAATGTGTGGACATTATATGTTTCTTGGTTAATGTGGAACAAACAGCATTTGCATTTGTTTGAGTTGAACTAAAACACAATAATGATAAATACAGATAGAACTGACTGTCACATTTCCCTGATCATATAAGGCCAATGGTTGTCAAAATGTTCTAAAATCTAAATTTTATGAGAATATAGTTTGACATTTGAACCACCACTAACAACTTTGTAGCTAAACAGAGCCAGGGTTTTATAAATAGTCTAGATGCTGGTGTGGATGAACTTATATAGGGCACTGCCACAGATGCTGCTGAGTAAACAGGTCATGGGTTACCTGGATAGACCTATTATGCTGTGCTGATAAAAAAGCAACTTCAAATATGCAGAGTGGCATTTTAAGATGACTTTTCAGGTCATGGATATAACAATAATCAAAATATTGTGAAATCTTGTCATCAAATGTCTCACAATAATATGAGGACCATCACAATATATCGAAGTTCTTTTGTTGAAATGCTTTGTTTTGTTGCAACAGCTAAAAAAAGCAGATGAAACTACATAGACCATGATCCAGGGTAGACAAATTTAACAAATAACTATTAAATAAGCAGTTAGTTATCTGGATTATGACAGTAATGCCAGTAACACCAAAGTCTTTTGAAGGCATTTTAAAAGGCTAGTAGCTTTTTTTTTTTTTTTTTTCAATTCTGTTAAAGTCTCCAAAATATCACAATAAGTATCCTACACTGAGATTGGATATAGCCACATCATTAGAAACTGTCCTCCAATTAGATTGCACATTTACTTTTACTTTTTGGGGGCATGTTTGTGTACATCTATATAACTATATGTGTTTTCCTGCCATCTGCTTTCACCCTGACTGTTACTTCATTGTTACAAGGTTGACCTTTTTCTGTCAAATCAAAATTTTTAGTGAAACACTGTGAGGCGACAGCTGTGAGATTGAGATAATCAACTATATCCAAATAACTTAACTGGAATGAGAAACAACCTATCTACAGTACAGTGTAATTAATCAGTCTATATTTAGAAGTCAACAGACACAACAGATTATTTACAAGACGTATGAAGAAATGAAAAACAATAAAAGATGGCAGGTCTCAATTTCAGGGGATCAGTTCACCCATTGACGCATCCTGGAAATGTAATAAAAATCCAAGTCAATTGAGCAATTAGATTTGTTCCTTCTAACAGGCAAAAAAACAACAAAACAAACCTTTGGTGCAGGTCAGGCTGATAAAATCCATTCTTGTGTCTCTTAAACACTAATTATAAGTGAATGTAACTTGCAACATTATAACACCATTATTCACCCTCGGAAGCTTTTTCAGCACTAATTAGGGTCACTATGGTCAATCTGGTTTTGTGCTTGTTTGGTCAGTATTGTAACAGTAAAAAACTAACATATTCAAATGTACAAGAGAAATGAAAAAAAAAAGTTTAAATGTTTTATTCTTCACTTTGCTTTTTACTCTGTTATCTATAATTGCTTTTTAGATGATTAGTATAGAAAAGACTGACAAAATATATAAAGTAAAAAAAAAGAAAAGATCACAATGGTGAGCCTGCCAAGGTAACATAAAAACCGTGCATAACTAAGTGCCATAGAAGGTGCCAGCAACCTAAACACAATAACATCCCATTAACTTTAACTACATAAAATCCAGAGCAAAAGCGAGATAAGACCATTAGTCTGACAGAGAACTATGACCAGAGCACAGCACAAAGCAATTCAGAAATAGCATTATTTATTCATCAGAATTGTTACAGTGTGATTGTTTGATAATATTATAAACTGTATTTCCTATTATATAATTGCAATGTAATGGTGGACCTATATCATGATAAGCTACTGACCTTCCCCGTAGATTGGATTACCTGACAAGACCAGTTTCCAACACATACGTTTTGAAGATCAAATATTCTATGGCTATATCCCACCCACAAATATGTTATTCATCTAAATTTGTAGTTATACATTCTTCACTTTTACTTAACGTTAAAACCTTTCTATACCCAATTGTCATTGATTGGTTTAGAGCTACAATAAGATAAAAACCACAGAGGGCAAAGCGCTTTGTTAGGTAAGAATGTGCACTAAGAATAAGTCAATGGGCGTTTCACAGGGAGATGACAGGAGCAGATAAGGTTAAAATGCCCAGATGGCTAAAGGTGGACTGAATAGGCTCTGGCTGTGTCACGACAAAAAGAAGTTACATAACAGTGGACATGTCCATCTGATTCTCCTCACTGCACAATGTTATGCCCAAGTCCCCAAACAACAACAATTAGATCTGACTGCTGCAGCGAGAAAGACAGACTGAATTTAAAAACAAAATATGAGAAGATATGAGAAAAAAACATGATTTGACTAACATAACATGGAAATATTTTGATTTTGTTCATTTAAAGCTACAAAACACCAAATTTCTGCATTTCCAAATGAAAACAACATCACAATGAAAATTCAACTGGGGAAAACCTTTATTCCAGGAAATTGCAACTACATCTAAACTTAAAAGATCCTTAAAATGTAAAAATACCAGTATCAACAAAATGTTCATAATGTCTGAAGGAAAAGGTTTACCAACACTTTTGATACAATTATATATATATTTTTTTTATGCTCAGTCAACCACACTGTGTTGTATTGTGTATCACATTATAATAACTACACCTTAATAAACCTTAATAAAGCATGAACATTGACATTAATGATTCAGGCTTGGTAATTGCTTAATTATGGGGTTAGGGTTATGAGTTAGAGTCTTGATTATGTAGTTGTTAGTTAATTAACTCTTTGTTTATTCTTTTATGTTATGAAAGTGTAGTTATTTTAAGTGTTACCATATCCATGTGCTATTTTTGACTTCTGTGTCTTATAACTTGTTGTATAATTTTCTCTTTAAAGCAGCATGTGTTGCTGTGTGAGGAACAGAAAATAGTCTATGAAATATGGTTTGGTAGGACTCCCGCTGCTCTATCCCTCCTCTGCTGTAATAAAGCCGGCCTCGTCTTGTTAAGCTGACGGTAATGCAAAGTCATCACTCGCTGCAGTACCTTCTCAATATCTTTCATACATTTTAATGCCACATATCTCAACTCTGTGTGATTTCAACCAAATAACTGAGACATCCAACTAGACTGAGTTCAGAGGACTGTTTAAACAGCATGTAAAATGTTTTTGCTTCCAATCTTACTTGTCAAATAGCAAGCCAGTCAAGCCAATTATGTATTTTGACAGATCAAAATATGTCATTAAGGATTGAATAACAAATCAGTGGGATCAAAAATGCAAAATTCATTCATGCAGAATATGCCTAGTTATTCTCACATTAATTGTATTGCACGTTTTAAAAGAGATTAATAAAAGTATCAGAATTACCAAACAAATGTGTATACGCAAAATCTTAGTAAATTAAACAGATACGGTAACAAATACTTCGTTCCCCAAATTTATAGTAACACAATTTCCTAACCTAAATAAAATATAGATTGTAGTTGGTTATCATGAAATTTTGGTATATAATTTGTGATAATATCCATGTTTCTATTTCTCTATATGTTCATATTTCTCTTTAATATATTGCTACAGGTTCATATTTTTTTTTAAAAAATGCTTTACTAGAATGTACTTGATTTTGCAGTAATTAATGAACATAAAACATCGCGAAGAATGTTAAGCTCATCAAAGACTGGCTGGTCTCCATTATTTGTTGGGGCCTTGCAAATCATCCTTCTTTTATTGATGTCATGTATCTGGGGCTGCTGTTAAAGCCTGTTATTTTACCTGACAATTTGACCAACCAAACTAGACGATTTCTACTGGAAACAGGGAGGGCACCAAACCAACGCACAATATTGTCTGATTCATTAAAGTTGACCTAATTCCAATACAGGCTATCATGGTACATTATTTACCTGTCATGTTCAATCCCACAGCAACAAAGGGGCACACTCATACATTTTGATATTTTCTTTAGGAGACAACTTGCACAGTAGCTCAACAAGTACAATGTATACTATACAATTGTCAGACTCTACCCTGGACATTTAGGACACAAACCTAGCTCAATATCTGGAAATGGGCACTGTACTGTGGTCACCCACTGCTTCTGACAGGTAGCTCCCTAATCAAACAAACATATCCCTATTTCTGGGTTTAAGTTAAAATAACAATAGTGGGGGCATGGACGATCTTATAGACAATTTCCTCTGAGAAAACATCTCAGGAGATGGACATTTCATGTTCTTGTCCGGCCAACACCAGTGTCACTTCCAAACAGACCAACATCAAGGATGACATTTTGCTGGCAGATCTATTTCAGAATCTGTCCATTTATCTTCTTCCAGGTGCTTGTGGGAAAAAACACTGAGAACCAGAAAAAGACTGTTCAGTGCATCCGGCGATGCAGTCTGTCACTTGACAGAGATGAGAGTCAAGAGAACCAAGAGTGAATTACAATGCACATCCAAACAGACGGGTGAAGACAATGGTGTTTTTCACAGAGCAGTTGCCCCAGTGTTTGGTAAAAAGGATAATTTGACAGAAACACTTGAGTGTCTGTCCATTTCCTCTAACACTGTGAAAGGTGAAGAAACGTGTGAGCAGATGGACACCTCCAGTTCAAGTCTGTTCAACAATCTGACTCTGGGATT